ACGGGTGGCCATCAGGAAAGCTGTCCGGAGGAGGACCTGGAGACACAGACCCCCCGTCTCTGCCTTCATTTCTGGAATCTGAAAGGACCATTCAAGCTAATAAATCGAAGTGTTTTCCATGACAACCCAAAATGTAGGTTATCGGGTTAAATGACAAAATGGAAGTTGAGGGCTGAATAGAGAAGGACGTTAGATTTAAAGGGGTTGAAATATTGAAGGGAAAAATTCAGTTCTCGCACTGAGCTCACGGGGAGTGAGAACTTTAGTGGTGGTAAAGGAAGCCGGTTTGATCTGCAAACTCCACACTGCAGCAGAATCCTGCATTTTGACGTCTAATTCTTATTTGTTCTGAGAATGTGAAGCAGGGGTCCCAGAGGGATCATGTAATTGTTTAAATGGAACAACACACTCCAAACGAAGTCCCTGTTTATCTATTTTATATATAGTAGTTAGTATCTGCAAATTTTGAACTCCTAATTTATCCCTTCCCACCAGCTAAAGTCTGTTTTTTAAATTATATTTTGAACAAATGCCATGTCAGTGTCTCTCCTTAAATAATGCTGAAAGGGTATCATCTTGATCAGACATGCTCAGGGAAGCAGTGCCCCTTCTCCCCAGATGTTTCTGGCCCTTCAGACTCTCCCAGGACCTTGGTACCTGGTCATGCATCCCTTCTAAGCTTACACCACATGAGGGTGGAATGCAGGAAACCACTGCCCAGAAGACATACTATTTCCCAGCAATCTTGTCAGCAGTCAGGGTGTCCACCTCCAGGGCTGGCTCCCTTCAACTCAAACCCCTGCCTCTGTCTCCTCCTCCAGGGAGTCAGTCCAGCCTAATCCCTGAGTAGGCCAGACCCTCCAACAGCCCTGAAATGCAAAAAGCTTTCCACGTCCACTTGGAGAAAGATGCAGGCACCCCAAGGCTCCCCACAAAAGGGAGGAAGACAATGGAATTTTCCTCTGGCTTTTGTCCAGGAGCTCTCCGGCCTCAGAATAAGACCTCTAAAGCTGGGCTGACCCTTCAAAGATGTCCCACATGGAGAGCCACCCCTGGGTGAGTCATCGTACGTGGGTGCTGTCCTCCCCGCCAGGTCCTATTGAGGGCAGTTCCCAGGAAGGACACCAACAGCAACACACCAGCCACCGGGGCAACGCGGCTTCAGTCCCAAGTGGTGGTCCCGGCAGCCGCTGCAGCAGCCGCGTCAGAAGCCAAGGACTGATTTGCAGAAAACGTCACCAATTTGTCCTGGATGAAGAATCTCAAAGGGAGGTCTTCTCGCAGAGAATAAAGCTGCTATGTTATTCCACTGGCTGTAATTCTGCTTCTGTATTTTCACTCACCCCTTCAGGCTGTGTACAGCAGTACCAGGTGCTTTTAAGTCTAAGGAGGTTTTGCTTCTCTTCTTCCCCCACCCCCATACCCCGTGCAGCCCAGTAAGGATGAGGCACCACGCTTACTGCCTGTTATTAATCTTTTCAGCTTACCCGGGCCCCACAGTTACTAAAGCTGACATCTGTTTTCTGTAATCTCAGAGTTTCTCATCCCTGCCTTATCTAAGGTTGACCTAGTTCTCTTTGGTCTACCAAAATATTTGTGAACGCACACAGTGGATTCCATCCATCAAATGCAACTCGGCACTCATACTGCTCTGTGCATCCCTGGATCCAGCCCGTCAAACCCCTTGCCTTTTCCAGCCTCCCTTAACCTCCCATTCTAGCCGCGGGAACCTTATTTAAGTTCCTCTAAATCCTACACTGCTCTGTGGAAGAGTCTACCACGCTCTTGCCCTAACTAAAAGCTGGCTCTTCTCCAGTCCACACTTACCCTGTTCCTCTCTGCTCCTTTCTCTCTCTATCTCAATGCATTGTACCTTCTGAGCCATATCTTCCCATCTTGCTGTAAAACCCTGCCTCATCTTAGACTGCACCGCTCTCTTTCCTTGGTCTTGCCATGCTTTGGGTCTGGTGGTTTTTCTCTTTAGCTGGATCCAGTGCCACCTAAAGATGCTCTTCTTTTCATGGTCTCCTCATTTCCAGTGACTTTTTCCTCCACCACATCCCATCCCAGCCATCCCCACCAGTGGCCGCATCCTGCTCCCTGGCGTCATGGCAAGTTGCAGGACCGTGGGATATTGGCTTCAAGCATCCACGTTTCCAGTCACTCACACAGCCACTCCTCCTCCTTCACAGGCCAGTTTCTCCACTGTGCTCAGAATCACCTTCCACATCATAATTTCTCCTTTTAGTATCTGCATAATATGCAGCAGAAACAAGTATTCTGTTCCTCTCACTCTTGTCCCCTTTGAAGGATGGAGAAGACTGAAGACACCAACGGAAGAGTCTGAGCCTCTAAGCTGCTTCCCCTCATCATGCTTGCGGTCTCCAGTCTGTTCCCCGAGCAGTCAGGGGGAGTGGAGCAGAGACATCCTGGAGTGGCGTCCCAGAGATTTTAGAATCAAGCCCAGCATTTATGCTGGCTCCCAAGGCTGTCGCGGTCCAGTGGCTTGCAGCGTCTCCAGTTTCATCTCGTGCCCTCTTCCCACTGCTCTCATGTGCCAGCCAGACTGGCCTTCTTTCATTCCCCAAATGCACCAAGGTTTTTCTCCCATCGAGGCCTCCGCATATGCCTTTTTCATCAGCTCTGTGAGCTTCTTTGCCTATGGCTGTTCCACGACATTCTTTGCCTCAGATCCCCTCCTGAATGCATCGTCCAGAGAGAAGTCTTCCTTGACCACACTGTTCAAACTTGCATCACTCCCTGCTGTGGGCGAATTGTGTCTTCCCCAAAACACGTGGAGTACTGACTACTAGTAACTCAAAATGGGACTTTATTTGGACACAGATTTCTTGCGGGAATGACTGGTTAAGTCAAAATGAGGTCATCCTAGAGTCGAGGGGGCCTTTACTTTAATGTGATTGGTATCCTCCTGAAAAGAGCAAAGAGACACAAGGAGAAGGCACCCGTGGGATGACGGAGGCAGAGACTGGACTGACGCCCCTGCCGGTCAAGGAGTGCCGAGGATCACCGGGAGAGGCCAGAACAAAAAGAGGCAAGATTTTCCCCAAGGTTCCAGAAGGAATCTGGCCCTGACAACTACTTGTAGACCCGTAGCTGTGTTGCTTCCAGTCCTCCAGCCTCCAGAACAACGAGACAACAAGTATCTGTTTCTGTAAGCCGCTCAGCATGTGTTACTTTGTTGTGGAAATCCCAGCAAAATAGTACACCTCCCATCCTCCAGTCCCTGGATTCTGCTTCCTTTAGAGTCTGGGTCACAAGGAGTCTACATTTTATATTTGCTTCTTTATGAGTTGTTTCTCTATTTGTTTGTTATGTCTTCCCTTTTTGCCGGTAAGCCAAGTGTGGGTGCCACACATTCCTCGTTCATCATTGTCCCAGTATGTT